ATTAAGGATATGGTTTTTAAAAAATAAAAGGTAAAGAAAATACTTTTGAATAAAAAAAGAATAAAGACAAGCTCCCGCAGAGGGGACATACTAAGTTGTCACAACGATATAGATGCGTGTGTAAGTGATTAACTAAAATCTAAGCATTACATTAAAGATTTTGTAAGTCAAAATTTAAAGTACTGATGTTAAACTGAAACTTAATTCTCTGAGTTCATAACAACAAGGCTATCTTTAAAATATTGTATTGTTCTTGATAACATTTACAAAAAAAAATTGTCTTAAAATGGTTTTTGTTTTGTCAAGATAACCATCAGGGAATTTTTGATGCAACAGGTTAATCCACAAATTTGTCAAGACAACAAGAGTTTATTAAAACACAGAAAAACAAGAGGCAGCTGAGCACAGGGAGTACTGCTGCACTGATAGAAGAGTTGAGACAGATTCACTTATGCAAAGCCAAAGTACACCCTCCAGATAGGATTAAAAAAAAAAACTCAAAAAAGGAACACTACCCTGGAAGTCAAGATCTCCAGTTTTTATTAGAGTCGGCAGAGTGGGATGTCAGTCCTACTCCTTCCACATGGCAGGCAGAAGGAAGTTTTGCCCTGGGATGGCCAGATCGGGCCTGTTATTTTAGGGGGCTCCATTGTCTCCAGGTTGGTGGGATCCTGCTGTATGTCCTAAGCCATGTGTTAATGTCAGCAATCTGGGCTGTGAGCCCTTATCAACCTCTGAGCCATGGTTCTCGGCCACTAGGTTTCCTAACTCCACACTTAGTCCCCATAAATATTTCCCTGTGATCTCTGGTGATTCTTGTCAGGGTTTTGACTACTGAGGTAACTGAGTCGTTTTCATTTAGGAGTTTGTTTATGTTGGCGTTAACAATGAGGACATCCACCCTTGCAGATGGCTTACCTTTATCTCCCTGAATGGATGCCAAGGACAGTTGGGCAGACAGTGACCTAACTACAATTTATCTTTCTTGGTTGCCCAGCAACAATATCCCTTAGTGACCTTCCTGGTACTTTTCCACTAGCCCCCTATATGTAGCCCAAGCCTGTGTATGGCAGTGGGCTCCAGCTCTCTTGCTGGGGTCTCCTGCCTAAACAATAAACCCTGTTCTGGTGTTTGAGCATCTCTCTGCCTCTTCCATGCCTCTTATTTTCTAACAGTTTATATAAAACTTTCTAGATGACCTCATGGCTAAACAACTGTTGTCTTAGGTGATTCTAATACAGACGGCACCCTATATGTGTCTGTGCCTGGGCTATTTGGGTTTACTAAAACTGTTCTTTCCCCCTACAACTGATAAAAATCTAAGGTTTTACTTCAAGAACAACTAAACTAATATGTATATATAACCTCTAAAGAGCTGTGATGCTGTTGCTGGTCCCTTATGCTAAATATATTTATGTTTTTCAAGTATATCAAGATTTCTAAAATACAAAATTTAGATAAACACGGTAACAAAAAGTTAGTGGTACTGATATAGTGTTCTGTTAGTTGCTAAATTGCCCATCAGAATTTTAACCATGACTCTTAAGTTTTTGTCATCACAGTTCTGATCATTCTGGGACATTTACAATCAAGTTCATAAAAAAATGACTCTAATAACTACTTATGTGTCACCTAGGTTAGCTTTTTAGACATCTGCTTTTGTTAGATTTTGTTTTATATTGTTCTCATCTAGAAGCCCTTGGCCTAAGGGCCACTCCTAAGCCTCTTTGTTGCTTAGATTTGACCAAAAGGGTCTAGTTGGCACTGACTCCCACCTGATCTGTTTGTTATTTTCCCCCCACAACCTGACGTGGGACTAAAACCAACCAAACAGACAAAATCCAGGAAAGAGCAAATCCTGATGATGAGAGAAAAATGACCCATCAAGAAAGATCTTCAGTCTGAGGCCATATCACCCTGAATGTGCCCCATCTCGTCTGGTATGGAAAGCTAAGCAGGGTCGGGCCTGGTTAGGCCTTGGATGGGAGGCAGCTCTTCAGAGGAGACTGCTCAGAGACAAGCAGTTTGGAGACAAGGGGGGAATGCCATCAAAGTTCAAATGGAGTCACTTGTGCCAGACCTCTCAAAAATAACCAAGGCCGAGAGGATTGAGGAAATGGTTCTTATACATGTGTGGCTATCTGGCATTAAAGCCCTTCCAGACACAAACTCTTATTTTTAGACAGGGTCTTCTACTTAAATAGAGAAAAAATAACTATTTTTACTGGCTCTAGACATGTGCTTTAATACTTAAAGATGATGGTTTTAACTGGTTTTTAAACAATGAGTTTTCTTGGACATATACACTAACAGTGTATTTTCCCAGGAAATTCTACTCAGTTAAAAAAAATGCTTGTCTGGATTAAAAAAAAACAAAACTAAAATGTCCAACCATTAAAACCCCATTGGAGGGGCCCTTTTGTTATCTTGTCTACTCCCTCCACAGGTAAAGTAGCAGAGATTGTTCCTTGCATCCACCACAGTGAGTCAAGCCAGCTTCTCTCCAATGGGAGTGCGGCCCTGATCAGCTCACTGTGTAGGGTCACCCTCTGGAACCTGAGCTCCCTCCCTCGGCAGGACTCCGCTTCCCAGGAAGCAACAGGGGACCAGGACAACGGAATGATAGCCCTGCAAGCTGACTAGTCTACGCACAGCAGAAGCTTGAGGATTCCACGCTCCAACAGGACAAACGGGCCATGTTTTCCACACCAGTTATGTCACTGTAATGCACTGTCACCCCTTGTCTGTATCTGCTGCTGTAGTTCTCACCCTAGTCTTCATCACAGGCTTGGCAGAAATCACCGCTCTGATTGACCTCACTGTGAAAGGTTTTTATTTGCTCTCTTCTATCTCTGTTGAGCAGGCTGCATATTTACTGTTTATTATTACTGACCTGGTTTAACAGAGAGCTAAATATACAGCTGTCCCCCACAAGGGAAAGCTGCCCCTAACTACACCCCTGGCACCTATAACCCTGTAAACTTCACTGTTCTTAAGCCATCTGGTTAAACACGGAGAAAAGTAACTAGTGTAAAAATAGATAAAAAGGGGTTTGATCCTGACAGTCTGATCCGCCTCAGAGAGGTCCTCAAACCAAGCTTTCACTCCTTTTATAAGGAGATAAAAAGTGAATTTTCCATCTCTGCCAAAGCTAAAAACTTGTTCCTCTCACTGGCTGAGTCTACAGCCCAGACACTAAATGTCACTTCATGCTATGTTTGTGGGGAGACCAAGGTGAGAGTCCCCATATATATATATATATATATATATATATAAAAGATTAAGTAGACAAAAACGGGGTGCCTTATAAATTGGCAATTAAAAAGATGACAAAAAAAAAGATGACAAATGGCCTCCTGAGTGAACCATCCAGTGCTATGCTCCTGCCACCTGGGCAGAAGATGGTCCTGGGGCTCTTGCACCCCTATATGCGTGCTCAACCCATCATCACGCTGCAGGCTGTTCTAGAATTTTAACTAACGGAACTGCAAGAGCCCTCAATTTGCTGACAATACAAAGCACTAAGATGTGCAATGCCAGCTATCAGAACCGTTTGGCTTTAGACTATTTGCTTGCTTCTGAGAAAAAAAGTTTATAAAAAAATTTAACCTAAACAACTGCTACTTACAAATTAATGATTAAAAAAAAAAGTTATAAAAGGGATCACAGACAACATAAAAAAAACTTGCCCACGTCCCTGTCCAGACTTGAAGAAGATGGTATCCCAATGACCTGTTAAAGGATGGTTTTCTGCCTTAGGTGGATTCAAAACCTGACAGGGGCAATGGGCCTAATTCTAAAAACATGCTTAACACTGCCCTGCCCTGCTCCCCTGGTGCCGTGGTTTTTCAAAACTCTTTTAAAGGCTGTTATAAAAGGCCACACATGTAATAATGCTATAAAAATACAAAGCCCTAAATTAAGATGATGCTCTTTGACCCTAAGTGGGTCTGAGCATCAAAGGGAGGAATAATGTAGCAGGGAGGAGGATCAGCAGAAAACAGTCTAGGCCTGAGTCCTGAGAAAGTAGCAGGGAGGTAAGGATGGCATAGGAGAGAGATAAAACCTGGGGAATATGAACTTGAGGAAGGTCACGTGGCACCAGGAGGGGAAAGTCCCATAGCACTAGGGTAAAGTAGCCTAATAAAGTTAAATATAACCATCTATGGATTAGACCTTGCTTTTTGCTTCTGTAACCTGCTTGCAAGGGTATACAAGGTGAGACCCCTTTGCTCTCGGGGCTCAGCCTTTGCACACGAGTCTGCTGAGTCTGTGCTGGCACAATAAAACTTTGCTTCCTGCTAATTGCCTCAGCGTCCTGTATCTCAGCCAGCAACCTCCCACGACAGCAGATCTAGTTGCCCAGGGCTGGCTTAGAACCTCATCCTCCTGACCCCTGCCTCCCAGGTAGCTTGGATTACAGGCGTGAGCCACTGGCACTGGCTTAGATATATATTTTTAAAAACTCCAGGTGGTGTTATGATCTATCAGCTGAGGGACACTTTAAAGTAAGAGAGGTGTCTCGAGTGTCTCCAACCAGCTCTGGCACTAAGACGGTGGGGACAGCACACGGTGGAGGGGACCATGGTCACAGTCAAGACATCCTGAACCCACTCAGTCTTTGCCAAGAGATACTGAGAAAGAAGACAAACCTTTGTGCAAGGGCCAAGAACTTCTCTTGTTCAACTAATCGTATTATAAAGTAACCCGAGTCAGTTCACTGGAATATTACTTAATTTCCTTTTTTTTTCTATTTCTTTTTAGACAAGAAAGTTTTGAGTCAGCCCAATGGTGGGTGTGCCTGCCTCTCCTCTCTGCCGAAGTCATTCCTTGGCGGGGGGCCGGTTGCTGCTCTGTTTTTACTCAAATGAGCTATTTTTTTGTTTTGGTTTCAACCACAGATTTCTCAGGAATGATCTTCAGCAGTGGCTGGTCTCATAAAAGGGTGTCAGACAGGAGAGGTTCAGTGTGGGACTGAGGAAGGCCCAGCTGGAAGCACCATGAAGACTTTCCCCCTTCTTCCTCTGACTCTCCTGGCCTTCCTTTTGAGCGTTCCCCGTGGAGCTGCTACCCGTACGTAGCTGTCCCATGCCTTTCCATCCTGGGGCTCCTTCCCAGAAAGGGGCACCTCAAGATCCTTCTTTTCCTCGTTTCTTAGGTGGCAGTGATGTGGCCAAGTCTTGCTGCTTCCAGTATAGCCACAAGGTGCTTCCCTGGAACTGGGTGCACACCTACGAGTTCACCCAGAGCAGCTGCTCCCAGCCCGCTGTGATGTGAGTATTTCTCTCTGCCATGATTGTGGGGGTCCCTACATCTTCCATGTCACTGGATGGGTACTGGGCAGACCCCACGCCCCCACCACTACAGTGGTGGCAAAATGGACTTCAGTATGGGAACCTAGGGAGCTGGTTGTAGGCAATGCCTCTGCACCTACACGTGATTCCGAGCTAAAGTTAGAGTCTGAATCACACCAAGGGTCAGGCCCTGTGTAATAGCTGAGTGTAAAAGAAAGAGCAAGCTGGGCACCAGTGGCTCACGCCTGTAATCCCAGCTACTCAGGAGGCAGAGATCAGGAGGATCGAGGTTTGAAGCCACCCTGGGCAAATAGTTCTCAAGACCCTATCTCTAAAAACCCTTCACAAAATAGGGCTGGTGGAGTGGTTCAAGGTGTAGACCCTGAGTTCAAACCCCAGAACTGAAAAAAAAAAAAAAAAGAAAGAAAGAACAATCTGGCTCTTCTAGACCTTCCCGACTTGAATAAGAAAACGGGGCAGTTGTCAGGTGCAGTAGAGCATGTCTGTAGTCCCAGCTACTCAGGAAGAGAAGGTAGGAGAATCAAGCTCGGAGGTGAGCACAAGACCCAAAAGAGTGAAAGCAAAAGGACAGGAGGGGTCATGGACTCAGCGACTCAGCAAGTGAGAAACCCTGAGTTCAGTCTCCTACCATGAAAGGAGGGAGGGGGGCGGGGAGGGGACACTGGAACCATCAAAGCTATTTGCACAAAATTGTCCACCACAGTCATGGTGACCAGCCCTTGGAGGAGACAGAGAAGGGAGCCTGTGACAGTCCGGGGAAGCGCACTTGCTCCGAAGGTCTCCCTAGGAAGGGACATTTACACTAAGACCCCCTCCAGGATAAGACGGCCAGGCCCAGCTGGGCAGGGCAGGGAGGGGGAGGAGCATGGGCCCTCCAGGCGGACAGGACACCAGGTGCTAGGATGAGCCCCTCGCTGTAAGCCACCTGATGGGGCACCTCTCTCTCTATGCCAGGCTGAGGGGGTGGCCTCACAGTGCGGGGTAGAGTGACTTTTTTTTTTTGTGGTACTGGGGTTTGAACTCAGGACCTACACTTTGAGCCACTCCACCAGCCCTTTCTTTGTGATTTTTTTTTTTTTGAGATAGAGTCTCATGAACTATTTGCCTTGGCTGGCTTCGAACTACTATCTCTGCCTCCTGAGTAGCTGGGATTACAGGCGTGAGTCACTGGTGCCACTAGAGTGACTTCTTACAAGGATGTCCAAGATATTGGTGCAGTGCTTTGCCACCTGCTATGACTTAGATTTGGACTTCACACAGCATTGCTTCCTCCATGTTCCCTTAGCCAGCCAGTCCCTAAGGCTGGCCTAGCCCCAAGGGGAGGGGGATATAGCTCTCCACCTGTCAGTGAGCAACATCAAAGTCCTTTGCAGTCATGCTTCCAAATTGCCACGAAGCCCTTCCTAGCTGTGACTTTCCTCTGTGTTGGCTCTTTTCTTCTGCATGTGCTGGGGGCCAGCTTGAGAGCCTCGTGACACTGCTTGTCCCTGCAAGGGTGACCTGAGCTACAGGGTCCCCGAGCTCAGCTCTTGTCACTTTTGAGTGCTGTCAGGATGCTCAAAGTTGGAGATTTGGGAGCTGGACGAGGTGGTGCACATCTGTAATCCCAGCGCCTGGGAGGTGAAGGCAGGAAGATCTCAAGTTCAAGGCCAGTCTTGGCTACATAGAGAGACCCTGTCTCAAAAAGAAACAAAGGCTGGGGGTGTGGCTTAGTGGAGAACATTTAACTATAGCATGCACGGGGCCCTGGCTTTGATCCCCTGCACCACACATGCACACCCACACACGACACTAGACATCAGTCAAGGTCCTCACTTTTTGTTAAGTTCACATCATGGTAAGGAATGCAGGAATGGAATATAAGCCTGCTTTGATGAATACCCAGGGAGCCTGGTTAAGAAGTGACAGAGAGCTGAGGCCATGGTTAAGTAGTAGAATGACTGCATGAGGCCCTGAGTTCAAATTCCAGTACAGCAAAAAGAAAAAAAAACAAAGTGGCAAGATGGTATGGCCTTCCTTTGTGGAAATGATCTAAAACTTATTGTGACAATGCTTGCATCATCTCTGAACATACTGACACCTGTTGAATCGTCATTACTCACTTTAGATGATATGTGTGTGAATTATATCTCCATAAAGCTGTTAGACAAAGCCAAAAGCATTAAGCCAGGCATGGTGGTTCACACCTGTAATCCCAGCACCGGGGAGGCCAAGACAGGGGGATCTTGAATTCAAGGCCAACCTGGGCTACATAGCAAGACTCTGTCTCAAAAATACAAGGCCTGGAGGTGGAACTTAGAGCTAGGGAGCTTGCCCAGTGTGTGCAAGGCCCTGGGTTCCAACCTCAGCACTGCAGAAAAAAACCGAAAGAGTTTAGTGACACAGCACAGGCTGGAACGTGACTCCTACGGGAGGTGGGCCTGGGAGTGAGGTTTCCAGTGGAAGCAGACGGGAAGAAGGCTGAGGACCAGAGGACAAAGGGATGAGAACAGAATGGGGCAGGGGTGTGGGTGAGGCCTGCTCTTCTACCCCTTCTGGGAAGTCTCAGAATTCACCACTCCTTGTCTCTTTTTCACAGATTCACTACGAAAAGAGGCAAGAAGATCTGTGCCCAACCAATGGAAAAATGGGTGCAGAGATACATTTCTTTATTGAAAACTCAGAAACAATTGTGACCCTGGGAATTTTCAGCCCAAGACACACTTGGAGCCTCCAGAGGAGGCTGAAGGGTCTGAAAGATCCGGGAAGGGAGCAGCGCGTGTTCCCCCACCAATGTTTGCTTGTTGGTTTTTAAATAGATGCTTTTCATAAAGGTTTGACTTGCTGGTCACTTCTCAGTCAATAAAATCTGGGATTTCTTCTAAGAAAGGAAACCAAGTCACTCTCTGTTGACCAGACGCAGGTCCCCAACCCCTGAAATAAGCCTGGTATTTAATTCCTGCTGTGTATTTCTGTTTGTTTTGTGGGTGGGAAAAAGCAAGGACAAATTTTCATACATTTTAGCAAGATATTAGGTAAATATTTTAATATGGTTGAGATAAGTTTAGGTTATTCGGGAAAAAAAATCCTGTTGGGTTGGGGGAGGGGTTCAAGTGGTAGAGCACCTGCCCAGCAAGCACCAGGTCCTGAGTTCAAATCCCAGTACTGCCAAAAAGATAAATAAATAAGTTAGTAAGTAAATAAATAATCCCTGCACTTGAGTCAGACATGATGTCACACACCTGTGATCCCAGCACTCAGGAAGCAGAGGCCGGAGGATCGTGAGTTCGAGGCCAGCCTGGGCTGTGTTGCAAGACCCTGTCTCCAAAAACACACTCTGACATCTTTAGTACCTGATATAACTTAAATACCACTCAGGGATAATGACAGGGAACAAGTCTGTACGTCTTCAGTAGAGCTGTAGGGGTTTTTTGGAATATTCTTGGGCCGTAGTTAGTTGAATCTGCAGATGGGGAACCCACAGGCACAGAGGGACAACTCGCACACTCATCCATCAATACAGACGCTGGTCCTGAGACCTTGGCTGTTGTGAAGGATCCTACAGTAAACACGGATGGCAGCTTTCTCTCTGAGCTAGTTCTTCCTTTGGCTACATAGCTGGAGTGGGATTGCTGGCTTGCTGTAGAAGTTATAGTTTGGATTTTTGAGAAATTCCCATATCAATTTACATTTCCAACCGTGTACAGGGGTTCTCGTTTCTCCACATCTCACCAACATTTGTTACCAAGTCTTTTTTTTTGGCAGTACTGGGATTTGAACTCAGGGCCTCACACTTGCTAGGCAGGCGCTGTACCACTCTAAGTATCTATCTATCCTTCCTTCCTTCCTTCTTTCTTCCTTCCTTCTCTCTTCTCTCTCTAAATGTCCACTAAGGTCCTTTGCTTGTTTTTAACTTAATTAATTTATTTAGTTTTCGCAGGGCTACGGGTCAAATCCAGGGCCTTGCACATGCTAGGCAAATGCTCCAGCCCTGAGCTGTACCCCTGTGTAGCCCAGACTGGACCTGGAATTCCCAATCTTCCTGCCTCAGACACCCACGTGGCCACCACAGGTGACTTATTTGCCTGATTTTAAATCTTGATACTGATTTTTCTTGATATTGATCTGAGTTTCTTTTCTCTTTGGTGAGACTGGGTTTTGAACCCAGGGCCTCATGCTTGCTAGGCAGGCACTCTGCTACGTGAGCCACTTCAGCAGCCATTTTTTGTGATTTTTTTTTTTTTTTTTGAGATAGGGTCTCTTGAACTGTTTTCCTGGGCTGGATTTAATCCTTGATCCTCCTGATCTCTGCCTCCTGAGTAGCTGGGATTACAGGTGTGAGCCACCAGTGCCTGGCCTTGTTTTCATTGTTGTTTGAGACGGGGTCTCACTATATGTAGCCCAAGCTGTCTTTAAGCTTGTGATCCTCCTTCCTGAGTTTCCCAAGTGCTGGGATTACAGGCATGAGCACCAGCACCCGGCTAATCTTATTTTATGATCCTAAACCTTACAGGATACCTCAGATTGACTTTCCTCAGAAAAGGCCCTTGAGATACAAATTTGCATGTGACATATTTTAGAAGTGAGTCTCAGAAAATAAGCAGGGAATGGAGAAGTGAGACAAGGGAGGGAAAGAAGCCAGTAAGTGTGTGTTAACACCCAAGTTACCACTGGAGGCAACTGAGTTTAAGGATGTCAGGAATTCAGGGACTGAGGTAGAAACCATGCCTTGGAGTTCATTCAACCCTAGGGACGAGGGAGTCAGGGTATTGTTACCCCTACTCCAGAGAGAGTCACTGGGACAAGGAGCACTTCCTGTCTGCTGGGGGCATAGGTGGCCACCAGATCAGCAGAATTTGCAGGGTGTGGGGATACAGTGGCAAGGTCTGAGGTCAAATGTTTGGGACACTGATGACATCTGCTCCACTGGACAGGACCCCAGCCGGTAACCCAAGTCACAGCAGGCCACTCTGCTTTCCTGAATGAGACAGGACAACTCCTAGCTCACGAAGGCCTCCGGATGATAACTTCCTGCCATGGCTGGACCTCTACAGCTTGAACACGGCCCCTTCCAGAATCTCTCGCTAAAGTTCTTCCTGCCAAAGTAGACCACAAATGGCAGCACCTTCTCCTTAGCAAGACTGTCAAGGTCAGCTGGGCGCTGGTGGCTCCCCCCTGTAATCCTGGCTATTCAGGAGGCAAAGATCAGGAGGACCTCGGTTCAAAGCCAACCTTTTGCAAGACCCCCACCTTGAAAAAACCCATTACAAAAAAAGGACTGGTGGAGTGGCTCAATGTGTAGACACTGAGTTCAAACCCCAGGACCACAAGAAAAAAAAAAGAACTGTCAAGGTCTTATTTTCCATGAGGCCACGGTGATTTCTGCCATGTCCCCCAAACAACCATAACCCTGTCCTGTCTCTGTCCCCTCTTCCCGTGGTACTTCCTCTTGATTGTAATATAGATCTAGACACCGGACCGCAGACTCCCTAAGGCCAGGGAGAGCCTACCTCTGCACACATGAGGGACCCTGGACCCCAGTGTTGGGGGTTGGATTCGAAGAGCCTCCCCATGTACTGAAGACTTGGTCCCCAAGGCGAGCAGGGCTCTGAGGTGCAGCTCTGGGGAGGTGAGAGGACCATGAGGCCTCTGAGCTCATCCATGCACTAATCCATGGACGACCTATCTGACCGAGCTATTGGAGATGGTGGGGCCTGGTCGGAGGAATTAGGTCAACAGGGTATATGTTGTTCTCTCTCTCTCTCTCTCTCTCTGTCTCCTTCCTTCCCTTTCCCTCCCTTTCTCTCTCTCTTTCCTTCCCTCTCCCTCTCTCTCTCCCTCCCTCTCTGTTTATCTCTCTCTCTGTTTCTCTCTCCCTCCCTCACTCTGTCTGTCTCTGTCCCCCATCTCTCCCTCCCTCTCTCTCCCCCACCTCTTCCTCTCCTTCCCTCTCTCCCTCTCCCTTTCTTCCTCTCTCTTTTTTCCCCTCTCCTTCCCTCTCCCCTTTCCCTTTTTCTCCCTCTTCCTCTCCCTCCCTCGCTCTCTCTCTTTCTCCCACTCTCTCGCTCTCCCCTTTCCTCTGACCCTCTCTCTTTCTTTCCCTCTCCCTCCTTCCCTCTCCATTTCTCCCTGTCTCTCTCTCCCCCTCTCCCCCTCTCTCTCTCCCCACTCTCTCTCCCCCTTTCTCCTTCTCCCTCTCCTCTCTCTCCCTCTCTCTCCCCCCCATCCTTCTCTCTCCCCCCCATCCTCCATGCGGTGGGCAGCCTTGCTCCACCACGTGCCCCCCCTCCCCAATCACACTCTTCCTCTCCCCGCCCCAGAACCTGAGCCAAACCACACCTGTCCTTTAAGTCGTGACATTTGTTATGCCAGGTGTTTTGTCTCAGCAACAAGAAAGCTGGCTGACACATCCACCATAGACAAACGCTGCAGACACTCTGCCAAGTTCACCTGCGCAGAGTGGTAAGGGGGAGGCCGCCTGCAGGGCCAGGTCCTGGGTTGATGGGTCCCGCAGCAGGTGTAGTTCCACGTTCTCACCAGCAGAGGGCAACAGTCTCCTGCCATCTTCTCAGGACTCGTGCTGGCGGTTCCCCTGACAACCGTCAACTCACAGAAAAATCCACTCCCAGAGTCCACTACGAATCTACCAAGGTCAAGGTTAAGTGTAGTCCTCGGGGAAGGGCGGGGAGAGAGGTGAGAAAAGGAAGACAGTTCGGGGGTGGGAGTGGAGAGCTGTTAAGTCCTCCATAGCCGGGTGTCCATGGCTCATTCCTGTAATCCCAGCTACTCCGGAGGCTGAGATTGGGAGGATTGAGGTTGGAGGCCAGCCTGGGCAAGATCGAGGTTTGAGACTCCAGCTCCAAAATAACCAGAGCAAAATGGACTGGAGGTGTAGCTCAAGTGGTAGAGCTCCTGCTTTGCAAGTGTGAAGGCCTGAGTTCAAACCCCAGTCCCACCTCCCCACCACCAAAAACAAAAGATCTTGTGCAAGACAATGCACTTGGGTGAGTCTGACTGGAGACACCATGTCTTTGAGCTTCAGTTTCTTCACTCATGAAAGACAAGGGTGTTGGCTGGGCAGGGTGACTTATGCTTATAATCCCAGCAACTTGGGAGGCAAAGATAGGAGGATCTCAGTTCCAGGCCAGCTCAGGCAAAAAGCTAGAGAGGCCCTATCTCAAAGAACAAGCCAAGTGGGGTGGTGCACACCTGTTATCCCAGCTGCACAGAAGGTGGAGGTGAGATCATTGCAGTCTGAGGCTGGCCCAGGCTGCAAGACCCTGCCTGCAAAGTAAAGCAAAACGGCTGGGGATGGGCTTAAGTGGTGCACTGCTTCCCCGAGGCCCTGAGTTCAAAATCTTAGTCCCATAAACAATTACAAAAGCCAAGGAGGTTGGAATGCAAGGTGTTCAGAGTTTAGAGCACCTGCTTTGCAAGCGTGAAGCCATGAGTTCAAATCCCAGTTCCTCCAAAAAACAAAAACAAACGAACAAAAAAAACCTAGTCAGGTGCCAGTGCTCACGCCAGCTACTCAGGAGGAGAGATAAGAAGAATCATGGTTCAAAGCCAGCCCAGGCAAATAGTTCACGAGACACTATTTCAAAAAAACCCAACACAAAAAAGGGCTGGTGGAGTGGCTAAAGGTGTAGGCCCTGAGTTCAAACCTCAGTACTGCCAAAAAAAAAAAAAAAAAGAA